TAATCCCCTAGTACTACGAGGCTCATCAATTAAGGCTCGACCTTTTCCAGCTGCGGGTGCCATCCGGCCTGCCTTTGGCAAAGAAGGAGCATTCAGGTTGAGTCAGGGAGGTAACGAGGAGGTCCTGGGGTCTCCCTTACTTTCAGAAACACCACGTAACTTTTTTTTCTCACTCACCCAGGTACAGCAGACGGTGACGGCAGCAGCCTCCAACTCGGGTTGGAGCCAGTGGCCCCAGAACCTCTCAGCTCAGGGGAGGGTGAGTAGCCAATTGCGGGGTTATCATCCACGTGCTTCTGGACTCTTGCCTCAGTTTCGGTTTTCTTTCTCGTAGCCGAGCGAGTCAGGGATCGCACGACCCTGTGAGCCAGCCAGGCATCCTTACTTTGCATCGAAGATGGATTCACACCCCCGACTATGGGAAAGATAAGTGGAGGACAACCACCTGGAGAGGGGATGAGAGCTGGGTCCAGTTTTATGGTTAGGAGGGAGGGATTTTCAAATGAGCAGAGGGGAAAGGGTCTGCCCTAACAGGCCCTTGGCACACATAGGAGGAGCAGTTTACTTTTCATCACTGGAGTAGGATGTGCATGGCAGAGCCGTTCAGGTCTGTGTCATGTCCTTTGTCCAGTCTGTGTTTCGTGTCTTACAATTCATAATCACCATGTCTTTGCTTTCTGCCCTCGAAGTTCTTATCTGAGATGTCAAGGCATCATTCCTAGGGTCTTGAACCTTTGCACTGCCCAGCCCAGTGCCCATACCATCCGTTCTTTGGCTCGCTAGCTTGGATGTGCATCAGAATTGCATCTGAGAAGTGTCAGGTCAGGTGTCTTTTACAGCCTCCTTACAGTTTGTATCGGTGACCATGCCGTGCAGTCATCCCTTGTAACCGCCCAGGACTTGTGAGAATCCAAGAAGATTCTGAACATAGCATTGTCTCCCATCCATCTTAGCAATTTGGTAGGCAGTTCTTGTCCCAGGCCATTCTGTTAGAGTGTCTTTTCAGGCTCCTCAGAGCCTCCTCCGTTCAGTCTTACCGTATCCTCCGTCTTCTCGTGCGGCAGCACATCCATTTTGGCGTCGTTCCTTTCTCAGAGTTCTCTCTCCTGGTTGCACCACAGCACTTGTCTGGAAATGTGTCCTTGGAGTTTGTGTTGGGCCTGGAACTGCTCTGCCCTGCTGTGTAGAGTTGGGGGTAGGTGGAGTAGAAAGGAGACTTTCCAGTTACCCTGTGATAGGCTCAGCCACTCAGGGCAGCAGTTCTCCAGTCCTCCCGGAGGCAGCCCCTGCCTGCAGTGTGTGTGCAGTCACGAGAGCGGGCTTGTCCAGAGCCAATGGGAGCGGTACAGCAGGACCTTAAAGTTAGGTCAGTGTTTGTTTGTGCAGGTTGTCTTTGGACCCCAGAGGGCTTGTCTAAGGAGAAATGAGAATTGCACAGCAGTTAAGGTCTCTCCATCTATATGGCTGACTTTGGTAACTCATTTCTTTGCAGCGTCAGAGGGACTGGATGTAAAGCAGAGAAGAACAGAAGAGACTGGAGGAGCAAAGTCAGAAGGTGGGTTGTCATGTGAGGTCAGAGCCAAGACATGACTTTTGGCCCTAGGTTTATTGTTCATTTGGATGGTTTGGTGGTTTAGTTTTGGTTTTTTGTTTTTTTTTAGGATGCAGAGCCCTCAGCCCAGCAGATGATAGGCACCAGAGGGAAGGTGAGCCCGGTGAGGAAGGTGAGCAGTGACTGCAGGACAAAACTAGCTGCTCTTTTGCAGGCGGTGTATTTGTGGTGAATCTGTGTACATACTTGTTTTTTTGTTTTACAGGCAGTGCACAGACTTCTAACGTGCAGTCCAACGTGACAGGGACCCTGCCTGTAAGAGGTCATGGTCAAGGGGTGTCAGACAGAAACTGCCATGGGAGCAGCAAACTCTTGGGCAGTATCTAAGTACTCACAGTTGCCTCTGGGTTTTTTTGCAGGAGATGTAGGCAGCCTCAGATGGCCGAACACAACTCACAGTGAGGTGACGGACACAGTTTACTCCTCTGGAGCTGTCCTTGTAGGTAATCTCCGAGTATTGAAAGGATCAGCAATGAAGCACTGAGCTTTTTGGATTGCAGGTGCCATCCAGCTAACCTTTGGGAGCAGATGAGCATTGGAGGTGAGTCGGGGAGGCAGCAGGAGGAGCAGGAATCCACTACAGCTTTACAGATGCCCTCTAATTTTGTCTCTCTCTCGCTCATGTATCCCAGGAGATGACAGCACATTGTCCAAGTCTCGTCAGAGTCAGCGCCCCGAGGACCTGCCTCGTTGAGAGTGAGTAGAGGGATCATGGGGGCTGGGGCCACATGCCACACTACTCAGATATGGTGTCTGGTTTTCTTTCTTGCAGTTGACTCCGAGTAGTCTGACGATGGCAGGAACCTCTGAGCCAGCCCAGGTGCCCCTCCTCTGCATCCAAGATGGATTGGCATCCCCTGCACTTGGAAAGATAAGTGCAGGGCAAAGCCCCAGAGAGGGGTTGGGAGTGGGTGCAAGTCTGTGCCTCGCCTGGAGGGATTTTTGAAATGAGTCCGGTGCAGGGGGTATCCTGGAACAGGTTATTTGGATGCATCAAAGGAAGGGCTTACTTTTTATCATTGGATTCCCGTGTGCCGGGCAGAGCAGTTCTGGTGTGTGTCACGTCCTTTCTCTCATGCGTGTTTTGTGTCACATGGTGTGTGTGGTCACAGGTGTGGGGTGTCTCACTTGGGGTCAGCCTGGAATTACTCTGCCCTGCTCCGTGGATCAGTGGGTAGATAGAATATTGCTCAGTCTCCCATCAACATGTCAGTTCCCTTAGACAGTGGAGCCGATGGCTGTCCAGTCTGTGAGCAGGATGGTCTTGCGATACCCTGCTTGGGTGTATAGGGTCCGGACTGGGTACAGTAGGAACCAGTGTCTAGAGTTTAGAGGTTTTTGACTTTCGTTGTGAGCAATCCCTAAATGTTTGAGAGCTGTGTGTTTGAGCATTTGCCCATGTCATTTGCAGGGGCGGTCTTGGGAGCAGCTGAAGAGAGAGGAGCCTTGTAGGTGAGTTGGGGAGGCAGCAGGAGGAGCGGGGATCCACTGCAGCTTTAGAGATGCCTTCTAATTTTGTGTCTCACTCACTCAGGTATCCCGGAACGTGACATCCACAGTGTCCGACTCCGGTCAGGGCCTGGGTGCTGGTGAGTAGGGGGATCACTGGGGTTTGAGCCCCATGCCACACAACTCACATATTGCTTATGGTTTTCTTTCTCGCAGTTGGCTCCTAGTAGTCTGACGATGGCAGGAACCTCTGAGCCAGCCCAGGTGCTCCTCCTCTGCATCCAAGCTGGATTGACATCCCCGGCTCTCAGAAAGATAAGTGCAGGGCAAAGCCCCAGAGAGTGGTTGGGAGTGGGTGCAAGTCTGTGCCTCGCCTGGAGGGATTTTTGCAATTAGTCCGGTGCAAGGGGTATCCTGTGACAGATTATTTGGATGCATCAAAGGAAGGGCTTACTTCTTATCATTGGATTCCCGTGTGCCGGGCAGAGCAGTTCTGATGTGTGTCACGTCCTTTGTCTCGTGCGTGTTTTGTGTCCTTCGTCTCTTAATTGTGTCACATGGTGTGTGTGGTCACAGGTGTGGGGTGTCTGACTTGGGGTCAGCCTGGAACTGCTCTGCCCTGCTCCGTGGATCAGTGGGTAGATAGAATATTGCTCAGAGTCTCCCATCAACATGTCAGTTCCCTTAGACAGTGGAGCCGATGGCTGTCCAGTCTGTGAGCAGGATGGTCTTGCGATGCCCTGCTTGGGTGTATAGAGTCCCGGCTAGGTGGAGTAGGAAGCAGTGTCTAGGGTTTAGAGGTTTTTGGCTTTCGTTGTGAGCAATCCCTAAATGTTTGAGAGCTGAGTGTTTGAGCATTTGGCCATTTCATTTGCAGGGGTGGTCTTGGGAGCAGCTGAAGAGAGAGGAACCTTGTAGGTGAGTTGTGGAGGCAGCAGGAGGAGCGGGGATCCACTGCAGCTTTAGAGATGCCCTCTAATTTTGTCTATCGCTCACTCAGGTATCCCAGAAGATGACAGCACAGTGTCCGACTCCGGTGAGAGCCAGTGACCCGAGGCCCTGCCTCGGTGAGAGTGAGTAGAGGGATCCTGGGGGCTGGGGCCACGTGCCACAGTACTCAGCTATGGTGTCTGGTTTTCTTTCTTGCAGTTGACTCCGAGTAGTCTGATGATGGCAGGAACCTCTGAGGCAGCCCAGGTGCCCCTCCTCTGCATCCAAGATGGATTGGCATCCCCTGCACTTGGAAAGATAAGTGCAGGGCAAAGACCCAGAGAGGGGTTGAGAGTGGGTGCAAGTCTGTGCCTCGCCTGGAGGGATTTTTGCAATTAGTCCGGTGCAGGGGGTATCCTGTGACAGGTTATTTGGACGCATCAAAGGAAGGGCTTACTTTTTATCATTGGATTCCTGTGTGCAGGGCAGAGCAGTTCTGGTGTGTGTCACATCTTTTCTCTCGTGCGTCTTTTGTGTCACATGGTGTGTGTGGTCACAGGTGTGGGGTGTCTCACTTGGGGTCAACCTGGAACTGCTCTGTCCTGCTCCGTGGATCAGTGTGTGGCTGGAATATGGCTCGGAGTCTGACGTCAACATGTCAGTTCCCTTAGACAGTGGAGCCGATGGCTGTCCAGTCTGTGAGCAGGATGGTCTTGCGATGCCCTGCTTGGGTGTATAGAGTCCCGGCTAGGTAGAGTAGGAACCAGTGTCTAGGGTTTAGAGGTTTTTGACTTCCGTTGTGAGCAATCCCTAAATGTTTGAGAGCTGTGTGTTTGAGCATTTGCCCATGTCATTTGCAGGGGCGGTCTTGGGAGCAGCTGGAGAGAGAGGAGCCTTGTAGGTGAGTTGGGGAGGCAGCAGGAGGAGCGGGGATCCACTGCAGCTTTAGAGATGCCTTCTAATTTTGTGTCTCACTCACTCAGGTATCCCGGAACTTGACATCCACAGTGTCTGACTCCGGTCAGGGCCTGGGTGCTGGTGAGTAGGGGGATCACTGGGGTTTGAGCCCCATGCCACACAGCTCACGTCTTGCTTATGGTTTTCTTTCTCGCAGTTGGCTCCTAGTAGTCTGACGATGGCAGGAACCTCTGAGGCAGCCCAGGTGCTCCTCCTCTGCATCAAAGCTGGATTGACATCCCCGGCTCTCAGAAAGATAAGTGCAGGGCAAAGCCCCAGAGAGGGGTTGGGAGTGGGTGCAAGTCTGTGCCTCGCCTGGAGGGATTTTTGCAATTAGTCCGGTGCAAGGGGTATCCTGTGACAGGTTATTTGGATGCATCAAAGGAAGGGCTTACTTTTTATCATTGGATTCCCGTGTGCCGGGCAGAGCAGTTATGGTGTGTGTCATGTCCTTTGTCTCGTGCGTGTTTTGTGTCCTTCGTCTCTTAATTGTGTCACATGGTGTGTGTGGTCACAGGTGTGGGGTGTCTGACTTGGGGTCAGCCTGGAACTGCTCTGCCCTGCTCCGTGGATCAGTGGGTAGATAGAATATTGCTCAGAGTCTCCCATCAACATGTCAGTTCCCTTAGACAGTGGAGCCAATGGCTGTCCAGTCTGTGAGCAGGATGGTCTTCCGATACCCTGCTTGGGTGTATAGGGTCCCGACTGGGTAGAGTAGGAACCAGTGTCTAGGGTTTAGAGGTTTTTGGCTTTCGTTGTGAGCAATCCCTAAATATTTGAGAGCTGTGTGTTTGAGCATTTGCTCATGTCATTTGCAGGGGCGGTCTTGGGAGCAGCTGAAGAGAGAGGAGCCTTGTAGGTGAGTTGGGGAGGCAGCAGGAGGAGCGGGGATCCACTGCAGCTTTAGAGATGCCTTCTAATTTTGTGTCTCACTCACTCAGGTATCCTGGAACGTGACATCCACAGTGTCCGACTCTGGTCAGGGCCTGGGTGCTGGTGAGTAGGGGGATCACTGGGGTTTGAGCCCCATGCCACACAACTCACGTCTTGCTTATGGTTTTCTTTCTCGCAGTTGGCTCCTAGTAGTCTGACGATGGCAGGAACCTCTGAGCCAGCCCAGGTGCTCCTCCTCTGCATCAAAGCTGGATTGACATCCCCTGCACTTGGAAAGATAAGTGCAGGGCAAAGCCCCAGAGAGTGGTTGGGAGTGGGTGCAAGTCTGTGCCTCGCCTGGAGGGATTTTTGCAATTAGTCCGGTGCAGGGGGTATCCTGTGACAGGTTATTTGGACGTATCAAAGGAAGGGCTTACTTTTTATCATTGGATTCCCGTGTGCCGGGCAGAGCAGTTCTGGTGTGTGTCACGTCCTTTGTCTCATGCGTGTTTTGTGTCACATGGTGTGTGTGGTCACAGGTGTGGGGTGTCTGACTTGGGGTCAGCCTGGAACTGCTCTGCCCTGCTCTGTGGATCAGTGGGTAGATAGAATATTGCTCAGAGTCTCCCATCAACATGTCCGTTCCCTTAGACAGTGGAGCCGATGGCTGTCCAGTCTGTGAGCAGGATGGTCTTGCGATACCCTGCTTGGGTGTATAGGGTCCGGACTGGGTAGAGTAGGAACCAGTGTCTAGGGTTTAGAGGTTTTTGGCTTTCCTTGTGAGCAATCTCTAAATGTTTGAGAACTGAGTGTTTGAGCTTTTGCCCATTTCATTTGCAGGGGCGGTCTTGGGAGCAGCTGAAGAGAGAGGAGCCTTGTAGGTGAGTTGGGGAGGCAGCAGGAGGAGCGGGGATCCACTGCAGCTTTAGAGATGCCCTCTAATTTTGTGTCTCACTCACTCAGGTATCCCGGAACGTGACATCCACAGTGTCCGACTCCGGTCAGGGCCTGGGTGCTGGTGAGTAGGGGGATCACTGGAGTTTGAGCCCCATGCCACACAACTCACGTATTGCTTATGGTTTTCTTTCTCGCAGTTGGCTCCTAGTAGTCTGACGATGGCAGGAACCTCTGAGCCAGCCCAGGTGCTCCTCCTCTGCATCAAAGCTGGATTGACATCCCCGGCTCTCGGAAAGATAAGTGCAGGGCAAAGCCCCAGAGAGTGGTTGGGAGTGGGTGCAAGTCTGTGCCTCGCCTGGAGGGATTTTTGCAATTAGTCCGGTGCAAGGGGTATCCTGTGACAGGTTATTTGGATGCATCAAAGGAAGGGCTTACTTTTTATCATGGGATTCCCGTGTGCCGGGCAGAGCAGTTCTGGTGTGTGTCACGTCCTTTGTCTCGTGCGTGTTTTGTGTCACATGGTGTGTGTGGTCACAGGT